GGACAAATACCAGAAGGGGGTGGGATCATCCCAGTTCAATATGGACAAATACCATAAAGGGATGGGATGATCCCAGCTCAATGTGGACAAATACCACAAGAGGATGGGATAATCCCAAGCCAATCTGGGATGATCCCAAACCAATCTGGGAAAATCCCAACAAGAGATAGGATGATCCCAGTTAAACATGCACAAATACCAAATGAGATGGGACAATCCCAGCTCAACATGGACAGATACCAAAAGAGGATGGGATGATCCCAATCTACTCTGGGAAAATCCCAGCCAGAGATGGGATGATCCCAGCTCAACATGGACAAATACCAAAAGAGGATGGGATGATCCCAAATCAATCTGGGAAAATCTCAGTTCAACATGGACAAATACCAAGGGGGGATAGGGTCATCTCAAACCAATCTGGGAAAATCCCAGCAAAAAAGGGGATGATCCCAGTTAAATGTGGACAAATACCAAATGGGATGGGATCATCACAATTTGATATGGACCAATGCCTGAAGGGTAAAGCATCATCCCAAACCAGCCAAGGAAAGTCTTGGAAAGAGATGGGATTATTCCAGTTCAATCTGATCTAGAAAAATCTCCAAATTACATAGGATCATCTCACTACATCACAGACAAATCCAAGCAGGGGACAAGATCACCCTGAGTCAGAATAGGACAGGGAGATCCCACAACAGGAACAGAATTATCGAATAGCATGCTTAGGCTGCTGGTGACTCAGCATGACAGGGGAAAATACTCCTGAAATGCACTAAGGTTATTCTGTAACATATAATCATAGGTAAGTTCCCAGCAGCTTAAAATATTATTGTCCTTTTCCAGCAGTTTCCATTTTTTACATGTTGCAGTATTTTGTTTGTAAACCAACTATTATGTTATGGTAGGACCTGGATGAACCTAAGGTTGAACTGGGACAGTGATTCAGAGTAGCCCTCACGTAGGTTCATCCCAAGTCACATGAAATTGCATAAGCATGCAGAGCACACCTTTCAGCCATTTTTGTTTTCACAAAAATTTATAATCAATTGTATGCGTGGGGACATATAGTGGATAAAATGGGTGTTGGCTTGTGGATGCTGGGCTGCCACAAAGAGCCAGCAATTTGTCTCATGCAAGACATGTTCTGCCTTTGACAATGATGCAGCAGAGGGAAGGATAATGAATATGTAGTACTTACTCGGACTGGTATCTTTGTGCATTTTTCAGTTCAGGCACTTGGATAAAGCTGCACAATTCAAAAAAATATCATATCTTTTGGATCAGCACATTAAATGGATTTGTGACATATCTTTGCCTGGTTGCAAGAGTGTTACATTATTTAAAGTTGGATGAGCCTGAATGAGAGGTATTGTAATCCTGCAGATGTATATGCTTGGTATTGTCAAACATCTTGTATTCCTTTGACTATAAGCCATTTTAAGTAACATTGATAGAAATCCAGGGTAGATAAATCTACTTTGTGATATGCAGTAAATTATATGATAAGTAGGAATGACAAAGTTATATAGTCAGTTAAGGAAAAGAGATATGGTTGAATTATCTCCTAATCAACTGAATTAAATCAGGTTAATTTGTAAATGGTTATATGTCACAATTAGTTACACTAACCTTTGGTCAAAGTCTCCTCCATCAATCTATAGTATATGATATTACACTAGAAGCTGGACAAATTAAGGTTCAATTGAGAGTAAACACCATTTGAAATTTGTATATATGTTATAAATGATGAAAGCAGGTAGTATTGTATTCTGCTTCATGGCTATTAGTACTATTGATAATGTATTGATGTTGGCTACATTTATGCAGGAACTATTTTTGCAGTAAAGCCCCCCTGACACCATGTGACATGTGGCAAATGTCTGGGATTATCCCACCATAACAAATGGTCTGATACCATGGGAAAATCCCAGAAGGATGGTATTATCCCACTTCTGGGATGATCCCATCCTTGCTGGAGCACTTGGGATGATACCAGGAAAAACAAGCTCTTAGCTTTATATATTTACACAGATAGTTGAAGCTAAATGCTTATGTTTTGGGGGTGACTGAAGTGGAGTAGCACCTCCGACTATAAGTAGTAGGGGGTTTAGTATCGGAATACCTCAGTCATTTCTATAGCCTCTTAGGCAGCGGCTGAGGTATGTTACATTACATTTATTAGAGATCACCTAAAACTAACATTTATTGTAGTTTCACTTAGATAAATAATAAAGTCACTTCTATAGCCTCTTAGGCAGTGGCTGAGTTTCACTTAGATTTATTATACCATCCATCCCTAATCTGATTGGCCATCTTGGAATCTAAGTTCTTTTTTGACTGAATAGAAATAGAGAGTGGTATAGGATATCTGATGCTCCAGTATCTGATGTGGCTGATGTAGTCAGCCATCCTGACTCCTTTGACTGTCATGATGACTATCAGCATTCATTTCAACTTTGGATTTATCACCACCTTTACCAGGAGGTGGACGTGGTGCTCCATCTTTACCACCTCAGTGACTTTACTGTGGTAATGTGGCACCAGGATGATCCTAGGATATGACAGGGAAATGTCCAGATTTGATGGGAATGATCCCAGACTATAGAGATAATTCCATGGAATAATGGGGAAATGTTTAAATTCAACTGGAATGATCTCAGACTGTATGGGAATGATCCAATAATATGGCAGGGAAATGTCCAAAATCAACTAGAATAATCTGAAACAGTATGGGGATAATCCCATGATATGGTGGGGAAATGTCCAAAATTGACTGCAATGATCTCAGACTGTATGGGGATGATCCATGGCATAGTATGGTGGGTAAACGTCCAAATTCAACTGGAATGATGTCAGACTGTATGGGGCTAATCCCATGGTATGGTGGGGAACGTTGAGATTCAAATGGAATAATCTTGGACTGTACAGTGATGATCCAATAGTATGGCAGGGAAATGTCCAGGTTCAACTGCAATGATCTCAGACTGTATGAGGATGATCCCATGGTATGGTGGTGAAAAATTGAGATTCAACTGGAATGATTTTAGACTGTATAGAAATGATGCTATGGTACGGTGTGGAAACATTGAGATTCAACTGGAATGATCTCAGACTGCATGGGGATAATCCCATGATATGGTGGGGAAATGTCTTGGTACAATTGGAATGATCCTATGGCATAGGGGGGATATGTCCAGATCCAACTAGAATAATCCTGGACAGTCTCAGAAAGGGATAGAATCATTCCATTTAGGTCTGGACACATTCTCACCATACCAAATCCCAGCAAGGGACAGGATCATTCTCATTAAATCTGGACATATCCCCATTATACCACAGGATGGTGGAGAAAAATTTCCAGATTCAAATGGAATGATCTTGGACTGGACTGGGATGATACCATGATTATTCGAGTAGGATCTGGACATATCCCCCCTATGCCATAGGATCATTCCAGTTGTATCCAGACATTTCATCACCATACATGGATGATCCCATGGCACAGTGGGGAATTCCTGATTCAACTATTGCACAAATTATGATATTAAGACATCAACAAAAACCTAAAGCTGCAGGAGAATTTGGATTATCAAGTGTACTAAGATAATCCCATAGTATATCCAGATTTAACTGGAATGATCCTGGACTGTACCAGGATGATCCATGATATGGTCAGAAAATGTCCAGATTTAATGGGAATGATCCCAGACTGTACAGGGATGATCCCATAGTATGATGGGGATATGTCTGGATTTAATGGGAATGATCCTGTCCCCTGCTGTGACTTATGCAGATTGTACTGGAATGATGTACATTTGGGAAATTTCCAGATTTAGTAGGAATAATCCTATCCCTTGCTGGGATTTGGTATGGTGAGGTGTCCAGATCTAACTGGAATAATCTCATGATATAGTGGGGTAATTTCCAGATTCAACAGGAATGATGGGAAAGGTCCAGATTTAATGGGAATGATCCTGTCTCCTGTTGGGATTTGTCTAGACTATACTGGGATGATCCTATGGTATAGTGGGGGAATTCCAGATTTAACAGGAATAATCCCAGATTTATGCAAATCCAACTATAATAATCCCATCCCTTGCTGGGATGATCCCATGGCACAGCAGGGATATGTCGAGATTCAACTGGAATGATCCTGGACTGTACCAGAATGATCCCATGAATAGTGGGTGATTCTGCCCCCCACTGGGATTTGTCCAGACTGTACCATGGGATGATAATGCAGATATACAACCTTTAGACTAAGAGGACCCTTTATCTGCTTCTGCATTTTTGCTTATTTCCTTTCACACCCACATGATTGAAATCCACAATCAGCATCTTTGGATCCACACTCTTAATTTTTGAATCCAGTGGACACTGTATTTTTTTTTACACCAAGTTGGTGATGTTTTTCAGGACAGCAGAAAAAGGAAACTCATCACAAGAGACAGTATTTGCTTGAGATGCTCTAACAGGAGGTGAGGATGGGAAACAGACTATATTCTTGCAGTTTGAATTATACCAGAATCTTTCACTTCTTCCACTGTATCACTGATTTCTTTTCTTTTACAGAATTTGTGTGAGTATTCCATGCTCTAAACTGGGCCATTACTGACTGACACAGAAATGGATTTTTCTTCTTATTTATATTTGCAGATTGGTGAAATGTTAATATTATTTTAAATTGGCTCTAACATATAATATAGTGTTCATTTAATATTTTGCAAAACACTAGATGCTGACAAAATAATAAGTCTAATTTCACTTCAATTATTTTAAACAATGCTCAACTTTTGTGACTCACAATAAAATTTATCATAAGTCCTTTTTGTACTATATAACACATTTACTTATTCATACATTTTAGATCTGGCAATAAGGATGCACAAATTAGAAAAGAACTTGATATATAGAATCTCTGAGAAATCAAATTGAAATATAAGCAGCTCTACGGGCATTTGCCTCGTCTAAACAAAAATCTCAAAGCTGACATGAACATCATGCCTGGTGTCAAGGACTTTGCCTTACAAGCAAATAACTATCTATTGATAGCACATGATGCCATCATTGCTAGCCGTGTCAATCAGACACACCAAGCCAATACCCTCAGGAGAGAGGAAAACACGTATAAGGTTGGAGACTTAGTTTACCTCTCCACTGAGTATTTATCCCTACCCAAGGGTAGGGCATGGAAGCTACTGCACAAATATATTGGGCAGTACAATATTGTCCGCACAAATGCGGAGAAGTTTACAACATCCTCAAGCTCCCTGAGGAGCTCAAAGATGAGTGGATACACCCAATATTTTATGCTGGGCTATTAAGAAAACACGAGCCAAATGATAACTCATTGTTCCCAGAAAGAGGCACCAAAGCCTTTTACGACTTTGGTGAACCAGACAAGACAGAATGGCTTGTCGATGAGATAATTGCCCATCCATTTGAGTGCAAACAAGATATGATTCCACATGAAGTGGAAC